GGCGTCTTGAAATTGCCACATTGCAAAAATATATTTGCGAGGTGGATGAGGAAAGATCAGGCAATGTTGATGTAGTTGTTGAATCAATTCATTGCTTAATTGATTGCAATCTGAAGCACGCATACAAAAAAATTCATCGCGGCTGGCTGGGGTTTACTAATTGGGGGGGGGCGTCCTTTTATTTGTGGGGGGGACACCGCTCAAGGGGGGTAGCCTTTCTGAGCTCCCAAAAACAGCATTTTTTAATTAGATTTTAATTAAAAATCGATCATTTGGGGGATGCGTTTTTTTTTTTCCAATTTTGGCGTCTTGAAACTGCCACATTGCAAGAACGTATATTATACTTGCGAGGTGGATGAGGAAAGATCAGGCAATGTTGATGTAGTTGTTGAATCAATCCATTGCTTAATTGCTTGCAATCTGAAGCACGCATACAAAAAAACTTATCGCGGCTGGCTGGGGTTTACTAATTGGGGGGGGCGTCCTTTTATTTGTGGGGGGACACCGCTCAAGGGGGGTAGCCTTTCTGAGCTCCCAAAAACGTCATTTTTTAATTAGATTTTAATTAAAAATCGATCATTTGGGGGATGCGTTTTTTTTCCAGTTTTGGCGTCTTGAAATTGCAGCATTGCAAAAGTATATTATATTTGCGAGGTGGATGAGGAAAGATCAGGCAATGTTGATGTAGTTGTTGAATCAATTCATTGCTTAATTGATTGCAATCTGAAGCACGCATACAAAAAAAACTTATCGCGGCTGGCTGGGGTTTACTAATTGGGGGGGGCGTCCTTTTATTTGTGGGGGGGACACCGCTCAAGGGGGGTAGCCGGGTAGCCTTTCTGAGCTCCCAAAAACAGCATTTTTTAATTAGATTTTAATTAGAAATCGATCATTTGGGGGATGCGTTTTTTTTTTCCAGTTTTGGCGTCTTGAAACAGCCACATTGCAAAAAAGTATATTATACTTGCGAGGTGGATGAGGAAAGATCAGGCAATGTTGATGTAGTTGTTTAATAATTAATTGCCCAATTGATGGCAACTCCACAAAAAACATCTGAAACCAGTCTGTTTGGCAATAGTGCGGCTTCGATCTACTGAAAGCACAGCTCTTGCAATGAAAGAGAGCCACCTCTTCCCAACATGATGAGCCAACCCACAAAAAACATTTGAAACCAATGTGTTTGGCAATAGCGCGGCTTCGACCTAATGAAAGCACAGCTCTTGCAATGAAAGAGAGTCACCTCTTCCCAACATGATGAGCCAACCCACAAAAAACCTCTGAAACCAGCGTGTTTGGCAATAGTGCGGCTTCGACCTACTGAAAGCACAGCTCTTGCAATGAAAGAGAGCCACCTCTTCCCAACATGATGAGCCAACCCACAAAAAAACATCTGAAACCAGTGTGTTTGGCAATAGCGCGGCTTCGACCTAATGAAAGCGCAGCTCTTGCAATGAAAGAGAGTCACCTCTTCCCAACGTGATGAGCCAACCCACAAAAAACCTCTGAAACCAGTGTGTTTGGCATTAGCGCGGCTTCGACCTAATGAAAGCACAGCTCTCGCAATGAAAGAGAGTCATCTCTTCCCAACATGATGAGCCAACCCACAAAAAAAAACCCTGAAACCAGTGTGTTTGGCAATAGTGCTGCTTCGACCTACTGAAAGCACAGCTCTTGCAATGAAAGAGAGCCACCTCTTCCCAACATGATGAGCCAACCCACAAAAACCCTCTGAAACCAGTGTGTTTGGCAATAGTGCGGCTTCGACCCCCTGAAAGCACAGCCCTTGCATTGATAGAGGGTGCCTTCAAGATGCCCTCTTAATTTTGGTTGTGGCTTATCCGGATCCACTTGTATATGTGCATATCAAATTACGTCGTCGTCGTCGTAGTAGTAGTAGTAGCCGTAGTAGCAGTAGCAGCAGTAGCAGTAGAGTAGCAGTAGTAGTAGTAGTAGTAGCAGTAGTAGCAGTAGCAGCAGCAGCAGCAGGAGTAGTAGTAGTAGTAGTAGCAGTAGTAAAAAATGTGCCGCGTTGCAAGAGCATACTTTCGAGGTGGATGAGGAAAGATCAGATTCCTATGAGAAAAGATATGCAAACCTATGGTAAACCATCAGATTCCTACGAGGGAAGATTCGAAAATGAATGGTAAACCATGAGATTCCGATGAGAAAAGATTAGAAAACCTATGGTAAACCATCAAATTCCTATGAGGGAAGATGAGGAAACCACGTAGAAACCATCAAATTCCTATGAGGGAAGATTCGAAAATGAATGGTAAACCATGAGATTCCTGTGAGAAAAGATCAGAAAACGTATGGTAAACCATCAAATTCCTATGAGGGAAGATGAGGAAACCACGTAGAAGCCATCAAATTCCTCTGAGGGAAGATTCGAAAATGAATGGTAAACCATCAGATTCCAATGAGAAAAGATAATAATACCTATGGTAAACCAAAATAGGAAGTAACCCTGGAAATTGTAACCCGAATTAAAAAGAAAAAGGGAGTAATAGCAAATTAGTTCCACCAAAAAAATAGGGATCCCAGAGGGGCTTCGCTAATTAGGGGGGGAAATCAGCACGTAGAGGACTTTAGTATTCCCCCAAAATTTTCGGAGGGAAGGGGCTTCGCTAATCCGGGGGTTTTATTAATCCTGACTTGTCATTACAGGCCAACAGTACTGTGCTTATCACCTTCCCAGGATCCAGGAACTGTGGACGAAATTTGGTGCTGTTTTGCCTGGCTCAGAATCTCTTCAGAACGGGCCAATTCTTGGTGAAGTTTTTGGAATCATACCCTCTGGCAATATAGAGTCTCAAAACATATCCCTACACCCATGGTTGAATCATCATTTTCCCTCTTAAAATAACCATAACTGGGAGTGTACCCCAGTTTCAGACTCACCCATATGACCAGGTCCCTGAACATGTGGATTTCTGTTCCAGGGAAGTGACATTGCAATTGAGGGGGGTCATCAAATTGATCAATTTCCATATAATATGATAATCCTTGGCTGCCATGATGCCATGTTTACCATCCCCAAGTCATTCACCATTTTGATGGGTTGTTTAAACCATCCCCAGTCATGGTAGCTGTTTATTATGTCATCGGGTTTACCACATCCATAATCAAGATTCTTTACTAGAATTAGTCTTAGTATTAGCCATCAATCATCAGATATCATCAGTGTTAAGCCATTAAATCCCATTATTCTTTTGATATAACCATTAATTATTTGTTGGGTTTCAAAAGGTTTCTCAGGCTCACCTTCCCGCCGACCTCGAAGGAAATTCTTCAATTCGTCGCCTCTCCATGTCTTGCTCGCAACTTGGTGACGGGGGCGGCCGAGAGAGACCGATGAAGGATAGGAAAGCAGCCAGCAACTGGGTTCCATTCGGATACCAGTACCCCCATGACTTAGGACACCTCCAAAGATGTCTTTTATTCACCAACAAAGACAAAAGAGTGTACATGTATATACAGTTATATACATGTTAAAACCGACAAGATCATAGCCAATTCTAAACACCGTGGGATATATAGTTCGATGTACCCAAACTATACCTATCTAATTATGTATGTATACATATACAAATATACATATGTATATATATATGATTATATATGTATGGTTTGGATCTACCCAAAAATATAATTACAACTAGCCTAATCATATATATATGTATATGATATGTATATATTTTGTGTATGTGTGTATATATATATATATACACATATGCAGATATACATCTATGTACACACACACACACCATTACCGGCACTACCGGACCAATACCGGACCCCCGCCTGAAGCCATTGGCTTTGGGGAGAGAAGGGGGTGGGCGCTGCTACAACTCGCCGCAGGGTCAATTACTGAAAAGGCTTTGTTGTATGTGAACGAAAAAATGATGTATGAGGTGGTTCAGATCCATCATAATATAATGATAGTATAGATATGTATAGATATAGTGTGGTAGGCCCAACAATAGTCAATAGACCTATACTATTTGGGGATGGTTTATACCACCATACCCATTTCGGGCCACATTGCGTATGGTCATAATTGGATTTTCCACAATCTTTTGGGTTTAATCCTTTCTTAATCAAAAGTACACTATACCAAGCATGTGTTCAGGTGGTGCCCATGGGTTCCGTGGGACTTCTCTTGATCTATCACATCTTCGATATCATTCGCGAGCGCATCGCGCACATGGATGACGGAGAAAAGGACTGGGTGGACGACCGAGAACTGGGAGGCTCAGGAGGTTTGTTTTACTCGATGCAAGCATCTACTACATAAATATGTATCAATGCAACACAACAAAGACATACAAACATAACCTTGTATTGAAGGATTATGATATGTATTTACATAACTAGGACATATTCCGAAAGGTTTCAATATTCTCTTCATTTTTTGATCCTGTATTTGCAGGCTCAAAGGGCTCAATTCATGGGTATCTGATGTGTATCTACATTTGGATTTGTTTAATGGGATATACTGGTATACTTACTCCCAACTTGCCATTTTAGTGGGAACCTGATGGAATGCTAGGGGATTGAGGGGAGTACCGCATTGTTAGAGAAACCCATCTAAATTCTACATGTTGATTTGTTGTCATTATATACATATACATGGATTATTGTCGCCTGAGGAAATTGACTCTACACTTGCATTGTTTCCATGTTAGGTCAGGGGTCAGTACTGTACTATCTGTGAGCCACTCAGTCCACTTCCTCTGGTAGTCAAAGATTGGCATCATGCCCTAAGCTTGTGGAATCAGAACTTGTGAGATTTGCAAATGAAAAGAGAGCACTATTTCTACTAGGGCCCCCCGGCCAAGAAACACCCACATGTGGCACGCAGTAGGTGTTGAAGTTGACTACGGTCATGATCATTCAAAAAGAGACAAGTTTGGCTGTCCCAGTCCTCCAAGATTGTGTGCCACTATGAAAACGAGTGCCTTTTTGTTGTTCCAACCATAGCAACCATGTGTCAAAAAACTGCCTATGTCCCAAAAGTTTGAGCTTCTTACACCTACAAGACGGTAGTTTTTAAATTTTACATGTCTTTACCATATCTTTCTCATGAGTTACAGCCCATTATCAATCCCACGATCAAAACAGCTCCATTCACGGCTGGTGAATAGCTGCATCAATTCCTGGAGGATGAGTATGAAGAAAAGTGGGATGAAGAAACTGAGGAGGCCGAGAATGATGTGGCAGGCGCGATTTACGGCAGTTAGTCGAAGTAGATGACTTTAGCTATGTCATTCAGAGACTATACGTAATATTGCGTGATTTACATGAAACATGTATGTTCAATGTATGTATACATACATACATCCTTAATGCATGCATGCATACATACATAACACTCCACAGCACAACACAACACAACGCAACACTACGTTTCACTACAATACATGCATACATACAGGCATACATGCACACATACCTAGCTACCTACCTACAAACCTACCTACAAACCCACATGCCTACTAATGCACCTACATATACCTACATATACCTACATATACCTACATATACCTACATATACCTACATATACCTACATATACCTACATATACCTACATATACCTACATATACCTACGTATTTGCCCATATTTATACCTAGAGAGAGAGAGAGAGAAATAGATGGATGGATGGATGGATTGATTGATTGATTGATCTATTGATGAAGGATCCGTCGATGAATGGATAGATGGAGATGGATAGATCGAGATGAATAAATAGAGCGATGAATCGATACAGTAGATAGATAGAAAGATAGATAGATAGATAGATAGAATGATAGATAGAATGATAGATAGAATGATATATATATATATATATACAAATACATACACACATATATATATACATACACATAGATATATATATATACATACATATATATATGAATATATATATACATATGTATATATACAATGATATATAGATATATTGATATATATATATATACAATGATCAATCAATATAGCGATAGATCCATATATTGATGATTAATAATGATAGGTAGATAATGATAGATAGATAATGATAGATAGATAATGATAGATAATGATATATATATATATACACATATCTAATTATAGATAGAATGATATATATATATATAATGATATCTATATATATAATGATATATATATATTCTGATATTTGGATGTACATAGATAGACAGATAGATTAGATTAGATTAGATTTGATTAGGTTAGATTTGATTTGATTTGATAGATAGATAGAACTATAGAAAGAAATATAGCTAGATAGATTGATCGATAAATCGATAAATCGATAGATCTATAGATCGACAGATCGATAGATTGATAAATCGATAGATTGATAGATCAATAAATCGATCGAACGATAGATCGATGGATCGACAGATAGATCGATCGATAGATCAATAGATCGTTAGATAGATATATGGATAGATAGATGGGTAGGTAGCTAGGTAGCAAGGTGGCTAGGTAGCTAGGTAGCTAGGTAGATAGGTAGATGGATATATGGGTAAATAGTTAGATGGATGGATGGATGGATGGATGGATAGGTAGATAGATGTACAGACAGATAGATAGCTAGGTGGATAGATGGAGGGATGGATGGATGGATAGACAGATAATATACCTGGCCTGGCCTAGCAGTGCATAGCCCAGCATACCATAGCAACATATATGTAATTATATATGTGTATATGTGTATATATATATATACACAGTATATTCGGACATTTACACATATGCATATAAATATGTATATATACATAGATTTAGGCAGTTCGTGCAGCAGATATGTGCAAGTATTTCGATTGTTTTTGCCCTGTATGTGTATTACGTAGGAATAAATCACATCACCACAGCCCGAACGTGAGGCCTTTCAAGATGACCATCCATGGTGCCGGAGTTTTGCCAAGTAATCTGTGTCTGATTATCTTCTGGTAAGCTAACAGTTTGCTATGGAAAATCACCATCCTTAATAGATAAATCAACTATTTCTATGGGCCATTTTCAATAGCAAACTGTTAAACTACCAGAGGGCACACGGTACTAACTTTCTAAACTTCGGATATGTGCCATACCCATAGAATACTCAAGTGTAACTCATGGATATACTGCGGGGGTATAGCCATCAACGGACTAAAGTACACCCATCGATGGCTTCCCAGCGATGTATACTGGTGCTAAAAACTCACCTATGATATTACCATAATCATTGTGGTAAACCAAGTTGCAAGCAGTTCTGATTGTTTTCAACAAAGAAGTGTTATAATCCATCCCAGTTTGAGACTGTTTGTCCACGTTTTTCCTCTATTGACTGGTTGGGGACATCAAACATATTGATTTAAATTTATTGACATATATATATATTGACATATTGCAATTTGGACCATGATTTGACCACATTTATACAGGATGCGAAAAACATATCCGCCATGATTTCGCTTAATTATTTCCCCTTGCTTCACAAGGTGGTGCCCTCTACTTATAAGTTGGTTTGCAACCCCATCTAACTGTAGTCATGAGAACCATAGCCCCTTATAGTCAATCTAGATATAAACCAACTTGGCCATTCCGAACTAGGGCACCGCCCAACTCAGGCTTTGATGTTATATCGATATATCACATTGTTTCCGGATTAAATATGATATAATGCCACCGTTTATAGATGAGTATCCCATTCTCTCAACTTTTGATGGACGAACTCTCCCATATCTCATTTACTAAGTTGAGTAATGTTGCTTATATATATATATCCTAGTACCTCCCATTCATATGGCATATTTACATCTGTATATATATATGCACCGTATGGTTATTTAACATAGCCATGGAAAATCACCATTTTTAAGTTCGGTAAACCATCTATTTCGATTAGGGCCATCTATGCCATGGCTACGTTAGTCAAAACCAGAGGGTATATCCCATTAATATCCCATTGAATCACTATAAAATCCCATTAAATCACTATAAAATCCCATTGAACCACTATAATATCCCATTAAACCAGGCCGCGTATATAAATGATACCAGTTCAATCCATCGGCGCCGCCGTCGCGCCGTGAGGTTTGTCCATGTCCTTCTTGACCGTGCAGGCCATGCGGTTTGCCATCAGCGGAATACTGCCTAACCAGGAAGGTGCACACCGGGCCCCTGGAGGTTTCCTGTGGGTCAAAAAAAACATGGCCCTTTTTAGGGGAACACAGGAATGAGAAACTATGGAATAGTGAATAGTGAATAGTTATGATTGAGATGGTCCTGTGAAAACAGATCGCAGCAACAGCTTGGCTTCAACCAGTATATATGTATATGTATATACTTTATGTGTATAATATATATATATATATATATGAAGGTTTCCTGAAATAGAGGTACCCCCAAATCATCCAGTTTAGTAGGTTTTCCCATTATAAACCATCCATTGGGGGTACCCACATTTATGGAACCCCCCAATATATATACATATATATATATATATTTAGACATGTATGTATGTATGTATGTATGTATGCATGTATGTATGCATGTATGTATGCATGTATGTATGTATGTATGTATATATATATATACATACACACTGTATGTAAAAAGATAGATAGTGCCATATATATATATATATGTATATATACATATATATATATGGGCACTATGATGATTGAGCATGATCACATGAGGTTTGAGAGTATTTTCACACAAACCCAAGCCTGTTTTCTTATTTGTTCTTTTGTTGATCAGACCAGGGTAGTATTTTTAAATGTTGCAAAAATCGTTTGTACCCAAGATTGCAATTGACACGCATATTTCAGGTTACCAAGCCGAATAAACCACTCGGGGATGATATGAACCAACAAGAGCAGACAAGAGGTTCTTTAAACATACCCTCTGGTGAACTAACATAGCAATGGAAAATGACTATTTATAGTGGATTTTCCCATTAAAAATGGGTGGATCTTTCCATTGCTATGTTAGTTCACCAGAGGGTATCACCGTAGTAGAATTGGGGCCATCTGGCATTGTGCCCAGTGAGCAGGTCTCGAACCCTGGGGGGCAGCCATCAGTCACACGCCGCATCAATGTCCCTTGGCTTGATAAGGCAACGTTGTTTGCTGTAGAGCTGTAGTATATCAAGTAGTGATGCGTATATGCAGATGCTAAGTATATGGTTGATGTGTATTCATACATGTATATATGAATGTGCCATATTCATCCATATCAGTGCAGGTTTCTTGTTGATGTGTTTTATTTGTAGAAAAATGATACTGTAGCCTTGAATTCTGTAGTTCTTCCACAGCGACTCGAATGTGGTCACTATTGCCTTGACTTGGCTAAAATTTCGTCTCTCGTTCACACGAAAAATAACCACCCAAGTTGGACACCCTGCTTTAGTATTAAGTGGCGTTCATTTTGGGTGCCCATATTATGGGGGATATTTTTCATGTTGGGGGGATGGGATCAGCATTGCGATTCGAAACCAATGGGATCAGCGTAGGTTGTGCAGCCGAAGGTTGTTGCGTTCAGCAGTCCCAACAACTTAAATGGTTGTTGAATTGTCTTGGTTACATTGTTTGATATCGCCATTGTCGCCATGTCTTGTAGTTTTACCAGTTTTGTCGATGATTTATTCCTATCATTGTTGATCAGACGTTCCCATGTTTGCTGTTTGAGACTCATGCAACCCTGAATGAAGTTGCAGGTTCTGTATCATAATATGTATGATAGTGACAATGATGATCATCAATTGTCTTACCCAGCTCTTTACCCATCCAGATAGAACTCCCTATAGATTAATTATATATTTATATATATTTATTTATACATTTATACACATATATGATCATATTTGCATCATGTGAACATACCGTTTCATCCAGTTCCACATGGTCAGGTCATTTGCTGATGGGTTGTGGCTTCATTTTCTTCTTGTTGTCCATGGCGGAAGCTTGGCGGAGATGGTGTCTTCACTTTGAGGGTGACCCAGAAGTGAAAAGGCCATTGAAAGAATGGGGCAAATGGTGATTGACCATCACTGGTTGGTGGTTTGGAACATTTTTTATTTTTCCATATATTGGGAATAATGATACGAACTGACTAATATCTTTCAGAGGGGTTGAAACCACCAACCAGATCAAGATGTTCCCTTTTTCCCCTACATTTTCAGACAAACCTAGATTTGTTACCAGTGTGGGGCTAAATCTGAAGAAATCATGTCCAGCTTTGTGCAAAAATGGTGGATAAATCGGGGTGCCCAAAAATACGGCAACTTTAATGGGAAAAAGATATGTTCTGGACCATGAGATTTTGGTGTTTTCCCAACATTTACAGACAAACCTAAGTAGGTACAACTGGATGTTGCTTAAGGAGAACACTTTTTGGTTCACAACTGGGAACGGGGAAATCTCGGAGTGTACAAAGGTTGTAATTCCAAGTTACTACCGAAAATTCATGTAGACATGGGAAACCCACCATTCTTAGATTATAAAGATTCGTGGGGAAACCATGGGTTTTCCATAAGTCAGCTGACTGAAGGGAAAATGGATCCCGCTCATCCCAGTTCGTATGTGGTTGATTAGTTAATTACCCTTCTTTAGCGATATTTCAAATATCATTGGGTTAACATGGTTGGGCCAAATGGGATGCACATCCCATACACACATTCTATGATACTCAGATGTTTCCAGGAGATCTCTTGAGGTTTTTGAGGCATCTTGGGACGATCCGGTCCCAAGGTCCCAAAAAAGTGGCGGTTGGTTCCTGATTTTTCCTGGCGGCTTGACAGTTTAATTACTGTAACAGTGAAATCCCCAGGTGTTATGCTTCATTCTGCCTGATTGATGATTCCAACATATTCCAACGGGTTTTTCCTCGCCAATTTTGCCGAAAAAAACAATGTTTGTTGATGGTTACGTCCCAAATGTGGTTGATGATTAAACCATATATCCTTCGTCTGTTTCTGAACCACCATCTTTGGTTGAATTTCCGGGGCATTTCTGTTGGAAATTCCTGGCTGTTTGTTGTTGCTTTACATCCCTACAGTATACCCGTGATCATGGGGTTTACAGGGTTATGAACCATGAACTAAACATCCCAATATTATGTTGCTTAATCATTTTTACTAGTACATAGCTGCTTGATCATTTACATATACACATGTTCAGCTGGTTAATGACTATATAATAAACATATATCCCCATTTACAGGTACTTCACAAACACGAGGTTTATAAATGTCTTCAGTCGTTTATGGTTTCCAACCACTGTTAACCACTATTAATTACTATCAACCACTGTTAACCCTATGGTTTCCTGTTGAATGCCCTGTTGATTCCCATGTTTCGGTTTCTAGGTCCTGAACTCTGAGAGGATCGTGGAAACGCCCGAACGCCTGGAGAGGCCCGGGGATCCGAATCCTACACCAGGGATGAAAACAGAAGGGTTAGCAAGTTTAGAAAAATTACATAACTTTACCTCTGTTTAAAGATGTTTAAAGGGAATCTCACTTGTATACGTACTGTTTTGAATTGTGGTTGCAATACCAAACGGTTTGTCTGATGTTTTCTTGGTTTTGATGAAGGTACATGGAGGTAAAGATTTGATACATGCATGTACCATACTTGTACGCGAATGATCTCGATTACTGGAAACGTTCATGGGATAGTGCCCCTGCTTAACTTCGCAAATCACGAATCGTCAACCCTCTGGGAATATCCCTTGACAGCTTGGTCTGCAGGGCTCAAAAGCCGCAATGTCATTGCATTGTACTGGTTTGTTGAGAATGGAGTTACCATTTCATGGATCGTGATCATTCCCAGTATACTGGATAGTTAAAACCCCGTGCAATCATCAACTGACTGGACGTTGAACACTGCTCTGATTGGAGTTTCTAGGATTGGTAATATGGATATGTAACCATTAGTTTGTGAGGGTGTTGGGCCATCCACCAACTGTTCAAAGTATATAGTCATGAAATCTGATGAACGCTTGAACAGAGATGATACCCTTTGGTTATTTAACATAGCCATGAACAATGGCCCATTTATAGATGATTTTCCCATTAAAACCTCAATTTATGATGGATTTTCCATGGCTATGTAAAATAACCAGATGGATCAGATGGTATGTTTTCTTTTGAGTTTACAATTCCATACTTCAGACTGAACTCGGCCAGTAAACCCTGTAAAAACTACCTAGGGCCTATAGTAGGGGATAGGTTTTCCATGGCGACGCCTTCCAACTTCCCAAGGATGGGTATTCCTCGGTAGTCCAGCGGTCGCTACCAAGATCGATCTGGAGCGTTGTTTGATATTCCCAGAGAACTATGATTCAAAACGGTATATTATATATTATATTTTGAGTTATATACATTAATGTATTGTGATACTAATCGAAGGAAGTTTGGAAGTCAAACTTCCGACAATGTGGAGAGATGAAAAAGCAGTCAGCAGGGAGAAGAGTCAGAAGAGAAAAGATCAGAAGAAAGAAGATGCAGGTGCGCGAAAAGGTAGGAAAGTCGCGAAACACTGTGTTTTTTCGTGGCTTTGTGGCTCCGGAGGGTTGAAAAGTAGGCTCGCTAAAGCGGCGGGTGCGGAGCCATCTGGGGAGATGAGAGTGAAAAGTATGCCCTGCCGTTGTGGCGCGAAGCACATTTCCAAGTGAAAATGTACAAAACACACCATTCTCGGACCACTTTTGGAAGTTGAGATGTCAAAAAAGTGCACGCCGTTGTGGCGCGAAGCACATTTCCAAGTCCAAATGTACAAAACACCTCAGGTCAGGACCACTTTTGGAAGTTGCGATGTCGAAAAAGTGCACGCCGTTGTGGCGCGAAGCACATTTCCAAGTCAAAATGTACAAAACACCACATGTTCGCGCCACTTTTGGAGGTTCAGATGTCGAAAAAGTGCACGCCGTGGTGGCGCGAAGCACATTTCCAAGTCAAAATGTTAAGAACACCAGGGTTTCGGACCACTTTTGGAGGGTCAGATGTCGCTGTGCTTCACTACACTACATTACACTACACTACACTACACTCCACTACACTGCACTGCGCTACACTACACTACATTACACAACACTACAACTACAACTACACTCCACTACACTACACTCC